TCTGTATCCTGCTCCCTTGTTTCTACCACTTTATCCTGCTTTTTTGTGTGGATTGTGATGGTCTGTTTTTTCCAAAGCATGGTGGTGTTGTTGTATTTAGATCTCTGTTAACTGTTTGTGAAGAGCAGCCAAGGGTGTTTCAGGCTTTTCTTGGTGGTTTTTTATCATTAGCACGTTGGTGGAGAAGTAGGTAGTGGCTGTCTCTCAGTAAATGAAGTTGTAGGAGGTGTAGGTGTAGTTGTGTTTTATGGGGACTGTTGTCTCCCACTCAATCAGACACAAATTACAATCAAATAACTTTCAAAAAACTTGTCAGTCTTGCAGGTATCGAGTGTCCTTGGGGTTGCTGGAAAGCAGAACATGTTCTTAAGCCCCAGGAATCTGTGAGAGCGCTGTCTCTTTAAATATCCAAATAGTCAAGATGCTTTTTATACCTTCAAAATGGCGGTGTCCTCTGGACTGGCAAAAGTCCACAGTTCAGCCCACCTTTCTCTTCACCTTCTCCGTTTGTTCCCCAGCCACCGTGCACAGGCCTCCATGAGTCCTGGCTAGCAGGGTGATTTTTAGTTTAATTCTTAGGTCCTACCACCACTCAGGAATCTCCAAGCTATCTGTGCCATCAGGATCTCTCAGGATCGCTGCCAGAAGGCAGGTCCATATATCTCCTGTTTTGGTATTTTCATGCAAATTCTTCTGCTAGTTGGGGTTTAGTTCAATTCTATATCCTTCCCTTCAAAGCTCAGGGGTCCAAGATTATCTTCTGTGTCTATGTTAATTGGTTTCCCTTTTCTTTGTTGAAGAGGGTCTGTGCAGTCTTTCTGTCTAGTCCACCATCTTGCCAGAGCCTGTAAACACCCTTTCTAAGAGCATGTCTCTCTGATAGGCACCAAGCGGGGACTCTGAGGGCACAGAGAGAATTATATAGGAGTCTGGCTCTTAGCCCATCTTATGGAGCCAAAAAATGTGGCTGCCAGGCCAGACAACTAGTTGTTCCTTAGTTCTAACAGGATTTCTGATATTCAGCTTTGAGTAACTGGGATAGCAGTTACCACAGTGATGATTAATCAAGAATATGCAACTAAATTACTGAAGGAACTTTTCAAATTAAAGGTGCTCGCGTCTCACCTCTACAGATTCTAGTGTTGATTGAGGATGGTTTGGTCATGAGTATTTTGAAAGCAGTGCTGGTCCAATTATGAGCAGTGCTGCGTGGACCATTGGTAGCTAGAACTCCAGAATGTTCCTCTTCTAGGTGCCCAAGGGGAGCTCTGGTAGTGTAGTGCCTAAGACACTTGACTGCTAACCAGAAGGTTGGCATTTCAAACCCACCAGCCACTCCTCAGAAGGAAGATGGGGCAATCTACTTCCATAGTAATACTGCCTCAGAAACCCAAGGGGTTGTCGCTATCAGTCGGTGCTGACTCAACGACACATAACAACAATAACAGGTGCCCAAGAGGTCAGAATTTGTTTTCCAGAAATTCTTTGTCAAGAACAGATTATTCTATTCCCATACCTATTATTTAAATATAAAGTAATGTTTAAGTAGTGTCTTTAGCACTTGGACATCTAACACATTTCCATTTGGCATCTATAACGTGATCTATACTCGTAAAGGATGTAATTGATTCTCTTTCTCTTTTGCTGTCATTTTAGCTCCAGATTCCAGAGCTTACTTGATAGGAGGGTTCATCGCACTGACAGGTGTGGCTGTGTCTGTCATGTGCATCTACAACAATTTTAAGATTGACATTGTGCTTTGGTATCGAAGTGCCTTCCATTCCACTCAGCCAATAGATGGTAAGTGTGGATAATCATTGAAAAATGTCTCATAATTGGTATTCACTCATTCGTATAGTCATTTTCTATATATATTGTCATATTTCACTAGCTTGCTTTTCATGTTGTTGAAGAATTCAGAGGAAGGAATATTTCTGGCACTTCTTACACTTAAATAAGTTGTTTATCCATGGTTATCAGCATTGGTCCCTCAAACAAGACTTGCAGGGTATTGTTGTTAGCTGTTGTCGACTCAACTCTGGTTCATGGTGACCTTAGATACAGCAGAAATAAACATATTATCTTGTCTTGCATCATCCTCACAATTCATTGTTGCAGCTACTGTGATGATCCATGTCACACCAAGGGTTTCCCTCACCCTTGCTGGCTCCCTACTTCACCAAACATGAGATCCTTCTCTACTGATTCATCTCTCCTGATGACATGTCCAAAGCAAGTGAGTTGGGAAGTATTCTGTCATGGTCCAAAAAGTTTTCATTGACAGATTTTCAGAAGTAGTTCACTAGTAGATCACTTTCTAGTCTGTCTTAGAATGAAAGCTCCACTGAAGCCATGGGTGACCTTGCTGATATTTGAAATATCAGTGATAGAATTTTTAGCATCATATCAACACACACACCACAGTACAACAAACTGACAGATGGGTAGTGCTATAGGGTGTTAGTGACTGAATATTTGCTAAGCACACGCAACATTCAAACTATGACAGAGACGGATGGATGAGTGGTGGTACAGGGTATTAGTAACTGAGTGAATATTTACTAAGCATCAAGAGATCATTTTGTGGGTCCCACTGCCACCTTTAAGAAGGTTCTCACGTCCACTGGTATTGGCAAAAGAAGAACATTTCTCCTGAAGCAAAGTGCTCTGCACTCATGATACATTTTCAAAGCAGTGGATGCTTAAGCAGAATTTATGTTTTGGAGAAAGGTGAGCTGACCAGGGCTGCAGGTTCTTCTAGGCATTACACTTGATGCCTGACAAGATTACAGGCTGAAACGCTCAAGTCTTAGAGAGAAAGAGACTGACTTGAGTTTAATTTTGCTTTCTCCATTTACTGCATGAATTTGGAAAGGTGTTCAATTTTCACCTATTTCTTAGCTGTAGTAAAAGGGATAGAGATGATTAAAGCCTCACTCACAGAGTGCTGTGGGGAGTAAATGAGCTAACTTGTAGGGAGACAGTGAGCAGGGCCCTGTGGTGCAGGAGGGACTCTGTTGCTTTTCTGGAGATCAAAAGCAAGTTGCCACCCACCGCTGTGCTCTGGTATTGTAGCTTGGTCTGTGACACTTGTGTCCTGATAGCACAATTTGATACATAAATATCTTAATGTGGTCCTCAGATGCTGGTAACAGGCATTTCCCATCACTGTGCTATTGAGGATTAACTCTTTGTGGTATATATGTGTGTGTGTGTGTGTGTGTACGCACACACGTGTGCGTGCACACACACATACATGTATTTATATATTTTTTCCTCTAAGAATGGATGTAATCAATTAAGGCTCTTAAAAATATAACAAATCTGGTTTAATTTCCCTGATTGGATGGAAAAATTAATAGAAGGCAGTTAGAAGTCTTTGTAACTGGTGTGCGTTGTTGTTATGTTGTTACGTGCTGTTTTCTACTCATAGAGACCCCATGTGACAGAATACATCTACCCCACAGGGTTTTCTAGGCTATACTCCATGGAAGTAGATTGCCTCTAGAATTTTCCCCCATGGAGCCAGTATGTGGGTTTAGAATGCCATCCTTTCAATTAGCAGCAGAGTGTTAACTGTTGCTCCACCAGGGCTCCTTAACTGATATGTGTAGAGACACACAAATTTATAACATTCTAGTCCAGAGACTTGAAGTGCTGACCTGACAAGAGCAGGAATGTGTGGAAACCTTGTGTGCAAACAAGTTTTACTGGTACTTAATACATAGAACAACACTTTACACTAAATGCTTTCCTTGCATATAAAAACACTGTACAAATTGTTGACCACATGTTTTGAAAAACACAGATGTCTAAATTTGAACTTTTTCTAAATTACATTCCAGAATTTAAAATTGGTAAACCTTGAGCTATATAAAAATAAGTGAACTTATTTTTGATGTAAAAAATTTATGCCCATTGCAACTTCCAGATGAAGTGTTTCACTGTGGCAAATAGACAAATTAGATGTGAGTATGTTATGTTTTGTATCCTGGGCAACATTGGCACCAGTCACTGAAGAGGCTGCTCTGTATAATTCTGAGGTTTACTCATGTCTATGCACATAGGCTATTACCAGCTGGTATTGAGAAGAAAGGCCCCTGGGTGTTCTGTGCTTGACTCCTAACCTAAAGGTTGGTGGTTCAAGCCCACCCCAGTGGTGCTACAGAACATAAGCCTAGTGATCTACTTCCTTAAATATTACAGCCAAGAAAATTCTATGAGGCATTTCTACCCCGTCACAGGGGATCACCATGAGTCAGAATTGACTCAAAGACAAGGGATTTGGTTTAGATTTTTTGAGAATCAGAGAACTTAGTCTACCACTACTTACTTTTTCTGACACAGAAATGCACGTGGTTTGACTACTTGCCGTTTTTTGACTAACAGAGAGAGGGCTGAGTTGACTGAGGTGGAATTCCTGGTAGCTTCTTGGGCTTTCTCACTCCACTGACTCACTGTGACTCCCAGGACTTGTGACGATAGCTATGACTAACCGATGTTGTGCACATAGGGTGAGTTGAAGCTGCCTATTAGTAAGGTCAGATTTGGCAGGAAGAGCAAAGAGAATAGTGACTTACTCTGAGCAGGGGAGCTGAGCAATTGAGACAGCTGAGAGCCCCACCCACTGCCCAGAATGGATGCAGCCTATGTTCAGAAGCAGAAGGCTGAGAATTTGGACACGGGAACTAACAGCTGGGATTTTGTTCTGTTTTTTTTTTTTTTCCCCCCCCTTAAATTCATAAAAGTATGTGTGCATATTGGGATTATACTCTTTCCAGCTCAATCTTTGAGAACTATGCTGTAATACTCCTCTAAGTGTTGGCAAAGATGAATGGTTTTTACCATTTACTGAGTTCTGATCACGTAGTGTCTAAGGCACTTGACTGCTAACCAGAAGGCTGGAGGTTCAAACCCACCAGCTATTCCTTGGAAGGAAGGTTGGACAATCTACTTCTATAGTGATACTGGGTTGGAAACCCAAGGAGGGGCCGCCATGAGTCAGATCTGACTGCACGGCACATAACAGCAACAACAACAAGTGTTTAGACTCTGAAATTAGTGCCAGGTCCAGTTCACAGCTTTATGTTTACTCCAACTAGATTAGTCAAGCTTTAAAATACTATTATTAGCTAGGTGTATATTATTTAAGCATTACTGAGTCACTAACAGGTCTGGCTAAATTCAATGAGTTCTGTTTATTCTCTATTAAGTCACATGCATTTTTAAAATTCTCCTACCAGGTATTCATGTGTGTACAAAAATGTAAGAATAAGCTTACAAATCAACTGAAGAGATTAGTATGTCCTTCCTCTTATTCCAGAGTGCCTGGTGGATGGGTGGATGGGGGAATGTAAATGCTTTAGGCACTTGGTAGCTTACTGAAAGATTGGAGGTTTATGTTTATGCTCAGAGGCACCTTAGAAGAAAGGCCTGGCAATCTACTTCCAAAAAATTAGCCTTTGAAAACCCTGTGGAGCATAGGTTTACTCTGACACACATGGGTTCGCCATGAGTCAGAGTCAACACAACAACAACTGGTTGTTTTTGGTCATCTTATTCCAAATCGGTGTGAAGAGGCTGGCAAAAATACGTATAAAGTGCATTATTTGAAAAACAAAATAATCAACAGGTACAATGAAAATGGAAAAGAAGGCAAAAGAAACAAAAGGTAGAATGGTAAAATAGATCCATGGTAGAGTTAATTACAAATCTCCAACAGTTTTTACAGGTGAATTTACTTTAGACGCTAAAGCAAAAGCAATTAAAAAAGATTCATTGTGTACTTTGGACATAAACCTTTCTATTGCTCATGAGAGAACATGGCTTTTCCTGGACCTAATTTCTAAGGGAAAATTTGTGGGAAATCTTTAGTTTAAAAGGTTGTAATGTAATGAATCTTGTCCTCAACAGTTCTTCCAATAAATGAAATAACCTGTTTTTTTTATGTAGCTTTGCTTATGCAATAAAACCTACAAAAGCGGGAACCTATGTAAGGTGGAAACAAATACTTCCACTAATAAAGAGTGACCAAAAAGTGATGAGACTGCACCCTGTCAAAGGCAGAAAACTTGTGAGTCTTGGAAAAACAAGGTAGTCCTGTCAAATTGCACCTCTTAAAGGTTTCATTGTAGTGTCTTTTTTGCCTGGTGGGGTGAAAATATGAAGTCTCATGCAATTCAGTAAAAGTGCTAATGTGGAGGCCAAATTGATTCTGAGTTTTCCACTGATCCTGGACAGAATTTAGCAATCACAAGAGAAAGTAATGAATAATCTGTAGCAAATCATTCATCAATACTAACTTATGCAAAGAAACTTTTCCAATTTTTGCTACCTGGTGGTGCTCAGCTGCTAACGGAAAGATTGGCAGTTCAGACCCACTCAGTGGCTCCAGGCAAAAGTCCTTATGATCTTCTCCTGTAAAGATTACAACCTAGAAAACCCTATGGAGAAATTCTGCTTTGTCATGTGAGGTCTTTATGAGTCAAAATCAACTTGGCAGCACACATTTTTTGCTACAGCTAATAAGGAAATATGTATACACTTTAGCATTGAAGGTAGGACTGACTCTTTCTTAGAAAAAGAATTGGTACCTGAGAGAACTGTCACCTCATCATTACATAAAGGTGAGCTATAAGTATCTGCTACTAGGGCCAAGGGCTTCCTCAGAACACTCACTGGTGGTTCTCTGTGGAATCAGCTGAGTGAAATAGATGGTAAGGGAATGTTCGACTCATTGTCATCTATTGCCATTAGTATTCTGTTCAGCTGCTGTGCCAGTTACTGTGACAGGGAAACAA